TTAAAAAAAATAATAAATAAAATAAAATATGCATGACCTAAAATACATAGTGCATGAAATTTCCAGGTAATTACAATACCATATTTGGGAAAATCAAGTTTAGAATTATGACCTTTAGGTGCTTCATTAGCTTCTTTATTTATTTGTTTTGTTTTAAACATACATAAAATTCATCCAAACAAAATATACAGTTCAGAGGTATTTTGTGTACTCAGAGAGTTGTAGACCTACCTTCAAAAATCTAATTTTAGGATACTTTCAACACCCCAAAGAGAAATCCAACACCCTCTCCTGCCTCTGTATCTGGCAAACATTAATCTGATTATCTGTATAGATTTGCCTATTTTGAATGTTTTGAATAAAATCATATTATATGTGATTTTTTTATGCCCAACTCCTTTCACTTAGGCATAATATTCTCAGGGCCCACCCATGATACAGGTATCAGTACTTCATTCTTTTGTTGTCAAATAATATACCATTGTATGAATTATTTATTCATTTATCGGTTAGTGGACATTTAGGTCATTACCACTTTTTGGCTGTTATGAATAATGCTACTACAAACAAATACAAGACTTTTGTGAACATGTACTTTCATTTTCTTGGAGATATACCTAGGAGTGTAATAGCTAGGTCACCTGGTTTTGAGGACCCACCAAATAGCTTTCAAAAGTAGCAATTTGCGGGCTGGAGATGTGGCTCAAGCGGTAGGGTGCTCAACTGGCATGCATGCGGCCCAGGTTCGATCCTCAGCACCACATACAAAGATGTTATGTCCGCCGAAAGCTAAAAAATAATTATTAAAAAAGTTCTCTCTCTCTCTCTCTAAAAAAAAAAAAAAGTAGCAATTTGCCCTCCCATCAGCAACATATGAGGGCTCTACTTTTTCCACCTCCCCTCCAACACATAATTGCCTGTCTTTTTTTATAACCATCCTAGAGATCCTCTCACTGTAGTTTTGATTTACATTTTCTGATGACTAATGATGTTGAACATCTTTTCATGTGCTTATTGGCCATTTGTATATCTTCTTTGGAGACATGTCTGTTGAGGTCCTTTTCCTGTTTTTTTTATGTGATTGTTTGCCTTTTTATGGAATTATAATTATCCTTTATATAGTCTAGATTGAAACCCCTGTGAGCCTCAGTTTTGTCCTCCAAATTTAATGATGCTCAAAATATTCTCCTTACTAAGCCAGACATAGTGGTGCATACCTGTAATTCCAGCTACTTGGGAGGCTTGGGCAGGAAGATTGCTGGAAGATTGTGGATAACACAGCTAGATCGTATCTCAAAACAAAACAAAATATTCTATTTACTAAGATAGAAAACTAACACATATGGAAAATAATGTAAATGACAAAGTTTTTTTTTTAAATACATGGTCTATTTCATTTTATCAAATTTTGGCCATTTGAAACTGAGGAAATCTGGAATTTCTTTTTTCTATAATCATAATATATTTTAACTAAAATAACTAATAAGTGTACCTGTCCATTAAATCCTAAAGGCTAATTTTTTCATATTTTAATTTTGTCTTAACCAATGCCAATGGTTTACTCACAGTATCTAAAAATAAAAGATTAATATTTGATTGAAAAACATTTACAAAGTGGGTTTGCCTCTGGGGAGAATTCTGGATCACAAGAAGACAGGATGACTTTGGTATATTTTACACTATATGTAGGGTCATTTTTAAAGATAAAATTTTGACAGAATTTGAATATGAGCTATAGATAAGATCATATATCAGTCTATTTTATGATTTTTATAATTATATCATGTTATATGAAAGGATTTTGTTCTCAGAAAATCCACACTGATGGAATTGGTGCTGAGAGATACCTTGTGTCCAACTTATTAACCTCAAATGGCTCAGAAAAAAAAAAAACACATTCATGTACATATAGAGAAAGAGTGATAAAGTGAATGGGACCAAATGACATCATCAATTGGGGAACCCAAGTGAAATGTATCTTGGAATTCTTTGAAGTATTCTTGCCCCTTTTCCTTGACTTCAAAATTCAGTCAAAATAAGAGGTTAAGGACCAGGGGCAGTGGCGCAAGCCTGTAATTTTAGCAGCTCAGAAGGCTGAGGCAGGAGGATTGCAAGTTCAAAGCCAATCTCAGCAACTCAGCAAGGCCCAGTCTCAAAATTTAAAAAAAAAAAAATTGAAAGGACTGGGATGTAGCTCAGTTGTAAAGCACCCCTGGGTTCAATCCCTGTACCACAAAAATTAAGGGACTGGGGATAGAACTCAGTGATAGAGCATGTGCTTAGCAGGAAGGAGGCCCTGGGTCCAATCCCCAACACCAAAAGTATAAAAAAATCAATAAAAGTTTAAGTGAGTTTTAATTTAAAATAAAAAATAAGGAAGAATTTAAAAATAAAAAGAACTTCCAAAATATTCTTGGTTTTGTGTATATATGAAACTTGATCATCTTAGGAGGGAAATAAGTAAAAACTCAGGTAGGGGAAAACTTACTTTTTGAACCTCATCAAATAAATTATATGTTTACAAATAACTCGGAAGGCATTAGAGAGTCTTTTTTTAAAATAAATAACGTGGGGCTGGGGTTGTGGCTCAGTGGTAGAGTGTTTGCCTAGCATGTGTGAGGCACTGGGTTCGATTCTCAGCACCACATATAAATAAATGAATAAAATAAAAGTCCATAAACATCTTTTAAAAATTAACTAAGTAAATAACCCAGAAGGCATTAGAGATTTTTTTTTAATTATATGAACTATGAACCAAAAAAAAAAAAACAGTAAAAATGAGAAGTGATCCCACATCCCATATTTTCTGGCCGCTTTGTTTCTTGCTTTGGCGTGTAAGTAGATAAAGCATTTACCTTTCCCACGAGGCTCAACCAGGCAGGAACATTTTAAACCCACAAGAGGAGTAAATGGAATCTTCACAGTTGAAAGACAAAAGCCAGTGGATGTCCATTACCACATCCTGATCTCTGATCCAAAAAATAACCTAAGCAGTGGTAATTGCCACCCGGTGCCTCTTAACGCAGCAGCGCCGGGAGCTGATGGTTTCCTTCACCCAGGAAATCTGAGGGTTTATACTCTGAAGTCAGCATCTCCAAGGAAAGAAGCCACATTCCCTCCACTCTGGAAGGTCCGCTGGAACAGACTCTGTTTCCCACATTATATAACCCATCTTAGGTTTTTAGAGAGCGAGGAGATTTTTTTTTTCAACTGTACATAATTTGAGAGAAAATACATCCAGCCAAAAGTGACTTAGTTCTAAGACCTTAATTTCCACATTCCCTAATATCACCCAATGGAAGACCTATGGAAGATCCCCCACCCACCTTGCCTCCTCCTAGTAGTCTGTGTATTGGCAATTCCCACCCCCCTCCCCTTTCTTTTTGGCACTGCTGAAAGGCTGGGATCGAACCTGGGTCCTTGTGACTGCCAGGCAAATGCTCTACCACTGAGCTCTGCCCCCAGCTCCCTACAATTTTCTTATTATGTCTTTTATGATCAGGAAAAATTACAAGTGAACATTATTTATTAATATCTACAGAATTCTTCCAAAAAGTTTTTTTTATTATTCCAATGGTCAACATTTGAAAATACTTCAGATATCTTTAATTAACAGGTAAATATGTACAAAGATATAATTATGCACAGTTCCCAGACTAGGGAAGGACAGAAAGACTACATTGTTCTCAGTGGTCTCCTCTCCATGTAGCTTAGACAAGAATCTCAGAGGCTGATTTTAGATGGGGAGTTTTCAGAAAAACTCTTCTCTGAGCCCTGAAGGGATCATGGCATGTAGTGACACAGGAGGAGAGAGGAGAAGGCCACCTTCCACACCCTGCCCTCAGCTCTGCCACTACAGCAGACCACGGGCCCACTGCTAGAGTTGCTTCCCCTCATCCAAAGGCCAGGCCCTCTCCATCTTCCCAAGCACCAGTATCACCCTCTTCCCCTATTATTTTTTAAGATGTTTTGTTCTTGAAAAATGTTCCCATGGCAAAACCACAGATCAAAAATAACTTCTATTGTAATGAGGGGTTGTACATCAGAACTCCTAAATTAATTTCCAATTTAAATACTACCCAAGTGGATCAGTTCCTTCAACAGTTAATGCTGGCTATCATATCACAACAAAACAAGGTGGTTTCTCATCCATAACTGTCTCCCTGCATATTGCTTTTATTGTTACTAACCCACAGAGGCTCTGCTCACAAAGCACATCACACAATGCTCTGTGTTTATGAAAGTCATTATGCCAAGTGTGGTCCGTGAGCATCACCTGGAAGCCTGTCGGAAATGAAAAGGCAGAGGCTCTGTGCCAGGCTTTCTGAATCAGAAACTGGGGAAAGAGCTCACGAAACTGCACGGTCACCAGCTCTCCTCAGGATTCTGATGCATACAGAAATCTGACAATCCCTGATGTAATCGAACCCGTTAAGCCAAAAAGGAAAAGAAACAACAGTAAAAGAGAGAAAAAGAAGGAAAGTAAGAGGGAGGAAGGGAAAAGGGAAAGTCTGCTCACAAGGTGTTAAATTGTGTCAACTAGCAAGGTGTAGGTCCTTGAGAGGAGAATTAAAACTCAGAAAACCAACCAAGGAGTCATTGGGGTCACAGCATCCAACCACTCAGCATTCACACACCACTTCTCAAAAATGCCACGAAGAGTCTCCTGTGCTGATATAGAGAGAGAACACTCTGCTGACAAAAAAACAAATTTTTAGGGCTAGGGTTGTGGCCCAGTGGTAGAGCACCTGCCTAGCACGTGGAAGCACGGGATTCGATCCTCAGCACCACATAAGAATAAATCAATCAGGTAAAGAAAAGTATTGTGTCCATCTACAACTAAAAATATATATATATTAAAAAATCTTTTTATCTCCAGGTACAACTATCAAAATCTGCTTCACCCCCTCCAAAGCCACCCACCTCTTAGCCACGACTTTGGAGGAGTCTGGGTTTTGCTGTGGAAGTCATGTGCTCACCTTTTGTCTTTGTTTTTCCAGCAAAGGGTTACCTTCCAGTTCGACCTTTACCTTAGAAGAGGGGACCATCTACTTGACTGCTGAGCCCAACGCTCTGGAAATGCAGGATGATAATGCCTCCGTGCTTGATGTCTATTTAGTAAGTCATTTTTTTTTTTAGTTCCTTCCCCTCCCCTTCTGGTTGACAGATGGATCCAGGCCATGGCTGCTACAAGAATAGGTTCTACGAAACCAGGCATGCTTGGGTTTTGAAAGAAACAATGGCACCCCGCCTTCTATAAAGGATGTGTCTTTTCACAAGCTGTATTTCCTACAGTTCATATAGAACATTACACAAAAGATATCTAGGGTAATATTAAATCACCACATATAACAAGAGGACAAATCCCCTTAGGTCCAGGCAAATAGGGCTCCTTGGGGTGATTCTCAAGGAAGTCATGCCTTTCTTTGGCTCAATAGTACTCCTCTGTGTTTAATTCTTCTTCACTTTGGTATTGCCTCCTTGGATAGGTTAGTAAGCTGGAAGGCACAGAACTAGGTCATGGGAGGAACCCGAATTCAGCGCTGAAGAATTCTGGCTGGCCCAGTAGAGTCGCCACCAACCAGTTGTGCGAAGTGGATAGAGCTTAGCTGTGACTGTGTGCCCTTAATGCCAGAGGAGAGAAATAATGCCCACCCTGCCTGCACCACAAGGCTACTTTGAGGAACATGACCAATCTCGTGTGGGGACCTCCTTTAGTGCCTGTAGGATTGTCTGTGTAACCCTAATTGTATTGTTAGATGATGTAAGAAGGATACCCTGGTGCATTACGCTGAGAAGACTAAGGATTTTCCCTGCCAAATACATCTCACGCCCATTCTCCACGTGCTCGTGCACCTGTGTAAAATCACATGCAACAGGGAAAGTTGATTGGAATTTTCTATTTTCTTATGTTTTCCTAAACTTGAGCCATTGCTCCTCACCATACCTGCTTTACCAGCTCACACTGGGAATCGGAACCACCTGGTGTATGTGGCATCTCCACACCCCTCAGGGGCCCTTGAGGCTGAATCTTATGTCTCTCCATATCTCAGTCTGGCACTGAATTTTCTCAAGTGTGCTCTGTAGAACATCAGTCACCTAAAGTGTTATTTTTGAGCCCACAGTCCTCTAGTGCCTTCCCAGTGCTCCTGAAGTAAAACCCAAAGTCCTCAAGGCCCTACATGGTCTGGCCTCCCCTGCCTTTGGGACCCCTCCTTCTGGGCCTCTGCCTTTCTCACTGTTGCTATTTCAATTATGCTGGCCTCCTTGATGTTCCTCCACCAAGCCAAGCATATTCCTGCCTTAGGATCTTTGCATTTGCTACTCTGTCTACACTCTTTCCCAAAGTCAATTCATGCTTATTCCCTCATTTCCTTCATGTCTCAACCCAAACATCTCCTTCTCCAACAGGCTTTCCTTGAACACCCTGTATAAAATGGCAGCTCCTCCAACAACCACTGTGAAAGAATTTTTTTCCCTTCTTAAAGTACTGGGAATTGAACCCAGGGGCACTCTTACACTGAGCTGCGTCTCCAACCCCTTTTATTTTATTTTGAAACATGGCCTCACTGAGTTACCCAGGCTGACCTCAAACTTGGGATCCTCCTGCCTCAGCCTCCCCACTAGCTAGGATTATAGACATGTACCACTGCACCTGACTAGGAAGAATTTTTTTCATAACTTCTAAATATATTTCTCGCTGCATAAATAGATTATTTTCCCACCAAGCCATGCTCCTCCATTACTGCTTTTAAAAAGTAAGTTGTAGAATATCACACAATTCTTACAGCATATTTGGGTCCCCTAAGCCACCCACTCAGGAAAATAGGGAATTAAATCGCAGGAAAGCAAGGGGGTTTTTGTTGTTTGTTTGGTTTTTGGATTTGTTTTTGGTTTTGTTGTGTTGTTGTTGTTGCTTGTTGTTATTTTTGGTTGGTTGGATTTTTGTTTGTTTTGAGAAGGTTGTTTTTGATTTTTATTTTGTTTGTTTTGATCTCTTGCTAAACTGAGTCCATCTAAAAGTAGAAATCAGAAAAGCATTTCAGAAAGAAGCCAGGGGAAATCTCATCTTCATGAGCCAAGGCTTCGGGCCACTTTCACATGTCTTTACAAAAACAAGGCTTGCACCAGCTGAAAGCTACCAGGCTCCTAAATGGAGTGTAAAAGCACAGGGTGGTCAGGGGCTTGACTACTGCCAGGTGCTTATCTGTTATCTCTTGTTCCTTTGGTAGGAAGGTTGTCTTATTAATAATTTTGCTTTTTCCTCCTTGGTATTATCCATTTCATTCCTAAGAATACTGCCATTTACTTGGTTTTAGTAGTGTCTTACTTCACGACTGTCTCACGTGTCTTTAATTCTTTGACACTGAAAAGCTAAGCATTTCAAAAAAGGAAATGCTTGCCTTGGAAGCCACAGGGGAAAACATGAGTATTCATTTGGTCCTTTCGCAAGCTCTTGAGGACCAGTTAGAAATAAAGGAGTTTACAACTGAAGGAGACGGTGGTGGCTTGCTGGTTGGCGTGATCATCTGTCATTCTTCCAAGCACAGCTGATTGTGATTCCGAAGTGAAGGAGGAGAGAAAGGAAAAGGGAGAGAACAGGCAAGCTGTGCAGGAAGGTAATGGGCAGTAGAAATGTTTCTTGCTAAGCTGTAAAAAACTGTAGCCTAATTCTGTTGTGTAGCTAATAGCAAAAAGCTATGAAGCATTTTTGAGTATTTTCATACATTTCCTACACTGTCCTAAAATATATACATATGTGTGAGTGTGTGTGTCTGTATGTGTGTGTGTGTGTATAATTTAGTTTTTATATAGCTCATTTAATCCTCACACCAACCCTCTTAAGGATTCTAGCTCCATTTATAGGCAAGGAAATTGAGGCACACAGAAAGTACCCAATTTGCCCCGGGATATGCAAACAGAGAATCAATAAGAGGGATTCAAACCAGTAGGATTTAACCCAAAGCAATTAACCCACTGATAATTGCTGTGCTGTGCTGCCTGGATTAGGAATTATGCTGCCCTATAGTTCACCAATTAGACTTGCAGAGATCAGACAAAGTAATATGACAAGAAAAATATAGAGGAATAAAGATAGATAAATTTGGATTAATAAAAATTGACTTTTTAAATTTCAATATGGAATGTGAAAGGGAAACACTTTTGCATTGTTGGAAGGGCACAGGAGTTTGAATAATAATAATATGAATGGCTAAACTCAGTACATACCATGCGCCATGCACAATATCAGTCCTTGTCTTATATTAGCTCATCCACAAAGATAGTTGTTATATTTGCCTTCATTCATATGTGTAAGGAAACTGAAGATTAATTTGAGCAGTTCTCAGAACTGGTAAATTATAGTCAAAATTCAAATCTAGCCCATGGTCTCTCTGGCCTAAACTTGAACCCCATGTGGGACCATTTCATTGTTATTGACAACTAATGCAAGTCAAACTTCCATCTCATTGGACTTGTGCTCCTTCCTTATGAAGGTGAGAGATGGGTCCAAAAAGCTGGGGGGGTTATTAAGAAAATTTTTAATAAAATTTTATTTTTAGGACTGGGGGTATAGCTAAGTGGTAGAACACTTGCCTCGCATTTATTTGTGAGGTCCTAGATTCAATCCTCAGCACCTTGAAAAAAATTCCATTTTTAGGCTGGGCATGGTGGTGCACGCCTATAATCCTAGCAGCTCTGGAGCCTGAGGCAAGATAGATCTCGAGTTTAAAGCCAGCTTCAGCAATAGCAAGGCTTGCTAAGCAACTCAGTGAGACCCTGTCTATAAATAAAATACAAAATAGGGCTGAGAATGTGGCTGAGTTGTTGTGTGCCCCTGAGTTCAATCCCCAGTACCAAAAAAAAAAAAAAATCCATTTTTAATATTTCCTATCTGGTTATTTTTTAATGTAAAGCAGTTCTGAGAACTGCTTTGACCTCAAGACCCCAATACATTCTTAACAATTATTGAGAATCCCAAAGAGCTTTTGTGTATGTAGGTTATATCTTCAAAATTAAAATAGAAAATTTTAAAATACTTATTAGCTCACTTAAAATATTTTGTTAAATAACATTTTTGTAAATGGAACTATATTTTCTGATATAAAAATAAATTTCATGAAAAGAGTAGCAACATTTTACATTTTTGTAAATCCTAATGTCTAGGTTAATAAAAGAAATTGGATTCTCATATCTATTTCTACATCAATCTTTGAAATATGACACATCATTTTGCTTCTGGAAACTCTATTAAACACACACAAGAATGAAAAGGCAAATAATATTTGTGTTCTTAGGAAACGAGTTTGACCTCATGACCCCCACACAGTTTTTCTAGTTTTTTTAGGTTTTTTTTTTTTTTTTTTTTTAGCTTCTTCAACAACAAGTGAGACTTTAACGATAGAGAAATAGTCCCTGGAGCCTATGCCTGTCTCTGCTTCTCATTAATTATTGATCTTGGAATAGTCACCCTCTTTGGGCATCAGTTTTCTCATCTATAAAATGGATTTTTAAATCATCTCTGAGACCCCAGCCAGCTCTGACAGGCTGTGACTCATTCTGACTTACAAAAAGTTGCAGAAATAAAGTTTTCCAAAGAAGCCACAGTTGTTTCTCCAAATTCTGCTGTTTCATCACCTCCTCTGCCAGAAACCTTCACAGTATTTAAACTTAAACTTTAGGACAGAGCATCTAGAACATTCTGCACCATTAACTTATACTGCCAGGATGTATGTTCATGCTGGAAATTTTTATTGTTTTATTTTGCATCCCCTTCCAGATCTGAAAGGCCTAAGCCATTACCCTCCCTTCAGTGTTTTCATTTGCTTCTACATTATGAAAAACTGCTGTAAAAGAAAAGCAAAAAAGAGGAAAACCATTCTTGGCTATGCATTTCTCTCTCCTTTCTTCCTGACCTAATTTGAAAGCTCTGGATCCTAGCCATCTTTACTTGAAGGGCAGTTGGAGGCTTCTCAAGTGACATGCTGTTCAGTGTTGTCACCAAATGTAGTCAGATTTCTCTTGGAATATTTCTCCCCCTGAAGATACAACTGCTAATAGCATTTTTCTATTAGCAGTTGTAACCTAATCCCTACTGCTTTTATTTACACACTAATGAA